GACGAAGGGGGGTGTAAAAAGAAACAAATGTGAATGAACGAAAAGAATGAATGAAACCTTACGAGGGTTAAAAATGTTTATTGCCTTTTCCTGCACCCCTGATATTTTTCTTTCTATTCTATTTATAGAAACCTTTCGAAAAAGGAGGAAAAGGGAAAAAAGGGGGAGGGAAATTTTCGTGCGAAATGTGATTTGAAAAAAAAAAAGTAACAATGAGAATTGTTTTTTTTAAAAAGAAATATGGCAACATCGATATTATGTATTTTTTTAATTTTTCAATTTTTCTCGTTTGAATTTACACTAAAAAGAAAAATGGAGGAGAAAAAAAAAGATAGATGCGAAAGAAAAAAAGGAGAGAAAAAGAAAAAAAATTGTTTGCCGTTTTCTATGGTATTATCGATCCTCGGGTCAGCTGAGTTTGCATTTTGAAAAACCCGCTCAACTTTCTATTGACGTCATACGATTCTTTCTTTTTTTAACTTTTTTTTTGGTACTGGAGAGAGAGAGAGAGAGAGAGATGAAGGGAAGAAAGAAAAACTGGAGAATAATCGCCAATCTGACTACCTTCTACATATATATAAATTTTTTTTTTTTATTTAAAAAAAAATGGCAGATTTTCGTCAAATTAAAAAAAAAAAATTTATTCAATTTTTTTTTTATACACATTTTCGACATTTTCCTCCATCGCTTCGTTTAACTCAATTAAATAAGGAAATGAAAATTTAACTCTTTTTTATTTTTTTCCTATCGAAAACGCTGGAAAAAAAATCGTGAAAATTAAAAAACATTTTGTGAAAAAAAAAAAAAAAAATTTTATAACGACAATCGTTCGTTACCATAATTTAATGACCAGATGTTTTCATTTTCCAAACGTTTAAAAAAAATAAAATTCAATTCGTTTTTAATTAAATGATATTTTAAACGACTTTATAAAATCATCATCATCATCAACATCATTATTATTATTATTAAATTTTCAATTAACTTTCAAGGATACTCGTGATTACCTCACCGGTACTCATCATCAAATAAATAAATTTTTTTTTAATAAGGACAAAAAAAATCAGTCGACGACCCAATTATTAACTTGACATAAATTTTATGTATCGTAAAATAAAAATACAATTCAATTTATTAAATGCAAACAAACAACAAACAAACAAACAAAACGATGAAGAAGCATTTTTGATAGATTTCCTTTTAATCATTTTTTTTTTTTTTTTTGAATTGCGTTTGTCGGAATCGAACAAAAACGAATTTTCCTCGATTTTTATTAATAAAACCCATCCGTGTATTTAGATATCTCTCTCTCTTTCTCTCTCTCTCTCTCCCCCTCTCTTTCTCTATCTATCTATCTCACTCTCTCTCATTTGCTCTATTTCATTCGGGTTGGGAAAATTAAATTATTTTTTTTTAAAATTCACTTCATTATCATAATTTATTATTAATTTTCTTTACTTAACGTTATTCAATGATCGTTATTATTATCATTATTATTATTATTATTATTTGAAATGTTTGTTGAAAAAAAAAACACAACAGAACGGAGAGAAAATAATAATAATAATAAAAATGAAAGAAAATCAAATAAAAAAGAATTTAACAAATGGGTCATAAAAATTATTTCATATAAATCATTATCTCGTTTCCGTTTCCGGTTTTATTACGTTAACAAAGAAATTTTAAGAAAATAAAAAGAAATAATTTTTTTTTTTTTTACAGCAGACGACAGCAAAAATTCTTTTTTTTTATTTTTTTTTTTATTTTATGAAATTTATCGATCGACAAATCCGTTCGTTCGTTCATTCACGAATTTATTTTTCATACATTCATTCATTCATTCATTCGAAAATTTTCTTCGCTTGTTGACTTTAGTTAAAAATAATAATAATAGTAATAATAATTTTTCTCGGAATATTTTCAACCTGTTGTGCAAAAGGTTCACGAAAAATAAACCGACGAGATAAAAAAAAAGGGAATGAAAAAGACGAAGAAGGAAAAAGGAAGAAGAGGGGGAGAGAGAGAGAGAGACAAAAAAAAAGGAATAAAATTCGTTGACGTCATGAAAATTATAAAATTCAATTAAATTGGGTAGAAAAGTTTTCCAGAAGCTCCAAAGTAACGTGGGTGATTTGACGTCATTGCAGTGTTGTTGTGACTCCCCTTTCGCCGCATTTTCCATCCCTCTTCCAACTTTCTCTCATTTTATTTTTGAATGGAGTTTCCCCCCTCTCTCTCTCTCTCTCTCTCTCTCTCTCTTTCTCTCCTCGATTTCTCATCTTTGTTTTTTTTCTTTCCGCCTTCCATTTGTTTTTTTCTTTCTTTTTTTTCTTTTTTTTTTGTTATATTATAAAAAAAATGAACGAGCAAAAGAGCGAACGAACGAATGAATGAATGAATGAATGAATGAGAGAGAGAGAGAGAGAGGGTTAGCTATCTGGCTAGCTAGCTATTTACAATATGTATTGTTTTATATTGGCAACGCTTTATCGAAACGTTTTTTTTAATGTTTTTCTTCGATTCTAAACGTTTTTTAACCTTTTTTTTTATGAAAAAGTTTCATAACATATCGATCCTTTTCATAACATTCCTTTTTTTTTTTTGTTTGTTTGTTACAGGATGAAATGACGCAACAACCGCAAAAACGATTTATATTAAATGAAGATCAACTTACGGCTGAATTAAGCGGACTTAAAAAAAAATCCGCTTAAGAAAAAAATTTTTTTTTTTTACGCTGCGAAAAAAAATAATTAATTAAATACCCGCGTAAGTTTTATTTATTTATTTATTTATATTCATAATTTATTAATTAATAATACTAATAATAATAATAATAATAATAATACGGGATTTAATTTAAATAATAACATATTACATTCAATACATATTGAATGTTTTATATAAAAAAAAAAAAATTAACAAAAAAATTCTTCTTTTTTCTTATTCTCTAACTATAAGACTTATTAACGACAGCAAAAAATTTTTTTTGCTGTCGTTTAATTAAGGGTGATGATTTCCTTCTTCTTTTCTTCTTTTCTCTTTTCTACTTTCTATTTTTTTTTTATTTAAATAAATTTACCATCGGTGAAAATCTTTACAAAAACAAAAAATTAAAAACTTTCGCCATATTGAAAAAACAAAACTCATAATAATAATAATAAATAAATAATTTAATAAATTACATATTATTATTATTATTCTACAAGTGTGTGTGTCAATCAATAAATAGATAAATAAATAAAAAATTAGTTTAATATTATATATATAAATAAAATTTTAAAAAAAAGACTACAATTAATCAATAATTAGTAATTAATATTATTATTATTATTATTAAAATTATAAAGAACTGACGTAAATGTTTTTTATTATTAAGTGTATATTATTATTATTATTATTATTATTCGATGTATATGTATGTAAATTTAACGTTAATCAAAACAAAAACTAAAGAACATAAATTTACCAACCAACATTTTTTTTTTCGAGGGGGTGGGTGGGGATAAGGGGAGGATTTCGTTCGTAACGGAAAGTTGAGGGAAATGTAAACAAAAAAAAAAAAAACTCGCGCTCTAAATTGCCGTCAATCGCTAAAAAATGTCTATTAATTAATTAATAATCGAACACGTTTTCAAATATTATGTTAATTGTAGAGATCTCGCTGTGACGTCACCGTTTTTTTAATTTTTAATTAATTAATTTATTTATTTATTAATTGTTAAAAAATATGTAAATGCGATCGGTGTTCATAATGATGATAATAATAAAGACGGAATTATTATTAAAAAAAAGAAAATTTTAAGGGCGTATTAAATTTTTTAAGGCATTTTTCGCGGAAAAAAAAAATAATTCACATTTAAAAAATCGGAAAAACGAACAAACGCCCACGTGAATAATAATAATAATTTTCATTTCTCACGTTTCGTATTAACTCTATTATTATTATTATTATTAATATTTATTAAATTTTTAACGTGTAAAAAAAAAATAAGTCATTTATTTTTTCAAAAAAAAAAAAAAATCAAAATCAAAATGAAAATGGAAATAATAATAATAATAAATTTTCTTTATAAAATGGATTACTCGTTTGAAAAAAAAAAATTTTCCCGCGTTTTATTTACAAAATATTTAAATATGGCGACGATTCATTCGCATTTACATATTTTTTTTGTTTTTTTTTTTAATTGTACATAATTAAAATTAAAATTTTTAAAATAAATAAATGAATGAAAAATAATAATAATAATAATAAGGGATAAAAAAAATTAAACGTTTAGTGCTTCCACGACAACCATAAAAAAAAACATTTTAAAATTATTATTATTATTATTATTATTGTTTTAAATTTGATTATTTGTTTAAATAATTAAGAAAGAAAAAAGAGTAAGTACCCGTTCGAAAGGAATTATATTTATAAAAAAACTTTAAAATAAATAAAACAAATTTTTTTTTTCTCCAACGGCGTTAAATTCTGGAAAATTCCAGGGAAAATATGATGCGGATGGTGGATGGTGTTGGGAAAGGGTAGAAGGAGGAAAAGGGAAGAGAAGGGAAATAAAAAAATTTTAAAAATAAATTCGCACTCGACCATTTTTTCCTCATTTACCCTTCACACCCCTTACCCTCCCTCTTAACCTCCTCCCCTTCCCTTCCCTCCCCTCGTGCACTCTTCGTCCATCAGGGCCTTTTTTTTTTTTTTAATTTTTTTTCTTCCTTCCTCTTCTTCTTCTTCTTCCATTTCATCTACCATTCAAAATGAAAAAAAGTTTTATTAATATAAATGATGATGATGATAATAATAATAATAATAAACGAACGTGTGATAATTTCATTATCGAACGGATTTTTATTAATTAATTATTGATTTTAATAAAAAAAAAAAAAAAAAAACTTATTCTGACCTGTGATATACATACATAGATTTATTATTTATATATATATATATATTATGTATATGCGTGTACATAAATTATTAAATGTATATTTGTATATTATTATGTTATATAAGCCTATTAATCGAGAAAATGGACTATTTAATTATCATTATTATTATTATTTTCGTAATGAATTCAGGAAAAAAAAAATTTTTTTTGCAGCAATTTACCTCTCGTCTTTCGCTTAATAAATATGCTTTAAAAATGCTAAATAAATAAATATTTACGTATTTATTTATCTATTTTTATTACGTACACTTTCTCGCTTTTTTAAAATTTCATGTGATCACTGTAATGATATTAATAATAATAATAATAATTATTAAAAAGTGTGATATTTACTATAAAGAATAAGGTGCGTGTGTGTGTAAAATGTTTTTCTCGATTGTTATCGGTGTGAATTTTTTTTTTTTTTTTACACGTTTAAAGTGGATGATTGGGAATGACTGAGAATGATTTGGAATGACTAGGAATGATTGGAAATTAAAACGATGTTAATTTTAAATAATGTTAATTTATTACTTATATATATATATATTTTAATAAAAATCTCTAATAATAATAATAATAAAAATTCTATGTGTATTAAATAATTTTCTTTTTTACATAATCTCACACACGTGAAACACACGCGCACACACTCACTCAAACACAGGAAAAAAAAAAAAATTAAATGTTGCCCATTGTGTTGTATTGCGATTCACTACAAATTTATTCACACAAAAAAAAATTCGATGAAATATTTTATTATTATTATTATTATTATTATTAATGTGCTTATCTAACCGTATTATTTGACAGATATTAATCGATAAATCAAAAACGTTAGGTAGATACATAAATAAATAAATAATTAATAAATAAATAAAATTCTATAACAAATGAAAATGTCAATTTATTTAATAAATAAAAAATTAAAAAAAAAATTTTTTTTTTTTTTCGTACTTAATTATTTATATTTACGTCATCGTTGGGTGACATCACACGACGCGGGGGGGGGGCGTGTTTACTTTTATTTTATTAATGTAAACAAAAAAAAAAAAATTTTCTTTCGGTTTATTCATTATTATTATTATTAATTCGTCGTTTAATTCAAACGTCCATATTTAAATAATTATTTATTTATTTATTAGTTTAATATAAACAAAAGAGGTTTGAAATTTTACCGAAAAAAAACCATTAAATTTGATTGGTGGTGGTGGGGGTGGTACGTTGATGTATCCACCAACCGTGTAAATTGTACCTGAAAGTGAAAAGTTAACTTATTGTACAAAAAAAAAAAAATTTTCTTTTTTGTTTTTATTTTTTATTTTTTTTAAAAATAAATTATTATATTAATAATATTATTATTATTTATATATAAATAAAAATTTAATAAAAATGTTTTTACCTCAAAATTTATTTCAATTTAAATCCTATTTATTATTATTATTATTATTGACGAAAGATTTTTTTGTTTCGGTTGAAAGTTAATCGTAGAAAAGGTTATCGAAAAAGGTGAAAGGTGAAAATCGTTTCAATTTCCACATCCGATTTTTCCGCCGGAAATACTTCGATTTGTTTACACCATTTTTCAATATTGTGCCCTTAGGTTGATATCCAGTTTGTTTGTTTAAATTTACAGGAATCATATCCGGGTTTTAAATCATTCATTGACTAATCTCCTTTCATTCCAGATTTTTTCTTAGATACTCAATTGGTTTCGCCGATTTGGGTCACATCAGAATCAAACTCCCATCATCAAATCAAACCATTCCGAATTGTAAGTATTTTATTATTATTATTATTAATTATTGAAATTCGCGTGTGAAAATGTCAAAGGTTAAAATTTATTTATTTATTTCAAAATAAATTTTTTTTTATTTAAATAATTGATCGTTTTCTCGACTACATTATTCGCGATAGATTAAATTTCGATAAAAATAATTACTTTAATAATTATTTAATTAATTAATTATTTATTAATATCCACACGTGGATTAATTAATCGAACGTGGAATTAATTAATTGAACGTGGAATTAATTAGGAATAATACAAAATTGATACAAAAAAAAAAACCTCCACTTTAATGGAGTATTTGTTTTTTTTTTTGTTTTTTTTTGTTTGGTAGGAAGAAGAGGAAAGGGAAGAGGAATAGGGAGGGAGAAAATTTTTCAATTTTTTATCGATTCTTTATCGAAAATCAATAAACGAAAAAAACTGTAAAACTTTTTTATTTATTTATTTGAAAAATTAAAAATGGCGTCTCGTGAATTTTTCCTCGGACGAATTTTCCTTTTGTTTTTTTTTTTTATTGTTTTCAAAAAAAATCAAGTCGTTAAACTTTGAAACAAAAACAAAAAAAAATAATAATAATAAATTTAAAATTTTAATTATTAAAATAAAAAAAACATCAAATATAACATAATAATAATAATAATAATGGTATCGTAATGAAATTTTTTTTCATTCGTTCAACAAGTTTTTAATTATTATTTGGAAGAAAAACCAAAAGGGACGCAAGTTTGTTTCCTTCTTAATTTTTTTTTTCTTGTTCGAAAAGGAAAATTGTAGTAATGATGATGATGATGATAATTCGAAAAGTTGCTTTTGTATGAAAACGTAAAAAAAAAAAATAAATTGGGGAGGAGGTTGTTAAAATGTTTTTTTTTTTTTTTTAGGCTGAGGACAAACACGTGGCAGGAATCGATCCGAGAAAATTTCCTACACGTCTCTCTCCCTCCCTTTAATTTCATTCCCTCTGTTTTCCCTCATATTTTCTCCTGTTTTTTTTTTTTTTTTTTTACCTTATTATTATTATTAAAATCTCAGCTGATTTTTTATTTAATAGTTTTCATTACTATTATTATTATTATTATTATTGTTTTATTTTACTTTTTAAACGTAATTATTATTTTTTTGTTGTAAAAATTATATAAATTTATTTTTTAATTAATTTTTTTTTTTTTTTTTAGAATTATGAAAATTGAAGAGAAATAATTTAAGATTATTAAAATACATAAAAAATCGTATAAAATCAACGATAAAAATCATAATGATAATAACAATAAGTAAAGAAAAAATAAATTACAAAAAAAATTTGATTTTTATTCAAGGTATCAAATTTAAGGTAAAAAAAAATTTTTTTTTTCTTTTTATTAAATAATTTATTTACAATTATTTATGTAATATACATAATTATTAAATTTCAATTTATGTACATATATATATATTTTTGAGTTCGACGTAAACACAAGTTAAAAAAAAACCACACCCAAAAATTTTATTTTATAAAAATAAAAAATAAAAAAACTTTGTTAAAAAACTTTTTTTTTTTTTTTATTGTAAATTTTATGCATGTAAATATACATATACATGTGAAAACTTTTTTATGTTTTTTTTTTTTTTTTAAAGAAAAATAATTTTTTTTGTTGTTTTTCTTCAAAAAGAAAATTTCAAATTTTATTTTTGAGTTCATTGAGCTCGATTATAAAAAATATATTTTTATATAATTATTTTTCCGAGTTTATCACTTTTTAATATATTTTATTTTATATTTTTCTTTAAAGAAAATTACAATTTTTTTAAATAATTATGACAATTAATTTCGAATTTTTTTTTTTTCATAATAGAACGGAGGGAATAATCTCGATTGGTTGTTTCTAAATGCATTAAAAATTAAATTTTTATTCAGTTTTTTTTTTGTTTGGGGGAGCGGGGAGAAAGGAGGAGTAAGTTTTTATGGAAAAAAAAGTAAAAATATTAAATATGAAAAAAAAAAGTATAAATTTAAATAATTAATCGTTTCCTCCAAAAAATGTTGGCGCCACTTTTCGAAGAAACGAGACGATTGAGGTAAATTATGTTGGCACCCCGTGTTACTCACATATGTAAAGTTATTTAAACACTCAATGTTATCATATAGGTATGGAGAGTATTATACAATTAATTAGAAAATATTTTTTACAAAATTAAATACGTAGAATTCTGTTATTATTATTATTATATTTTTTTTTCTTGTTTAAAAAATGTTTAATTCTTTATGTAAATTTTTAAGCCAAAAATTATTTTCCAAGCAAGAGGATTCTTCTGCTCATACATCACAAGTTGTGTAAGTGATTGACATTTGTTGTAGAAAAAAAATTCAATATTGTATTTAAATAATTATTATTATTATTATTTTTAGTAAAAGTGATTCATACACGCATTTCTATGGTAAACGTTTAAAAATAAATCAAAATCAAGATTTTTTTCCTAAAAATTCTCCAAGTTCAACAAAATTACCAATACAGGGAAAAGAAAATGTTAAAGTGATTGAATTAGATAATGATGATGATGATGGTGTAAGGATTTTTTTTTAATTTTAATGAAATATTTATTATTTTATGCTATTTATATAGTTTAATTTAAAATTTAATTTTTAGTGTTGTGTAATCGCTGAAATACCAAAAAAGACAAAAACTAATATTGTCGCACCAGTCCTCTCTCAATCAAAGTGTACTTCCATGTTAAACAGTGACAATTATTCCAAAATAAAAAATTTAGTGAATGAAAGTAATTATAGAAATATAGATATAGTTAGACAAAATACCAACAAATCAAATTTAGTGAGGCATTCTCATGATAAAAATTATAAATTTTTCAAGACTCATAGAACTCCATTAAGTTCTAGTAAAATCATAAGAGCCAAAATGTCATATAAAGATCAACTTAAAAAAAGGATTAATTTTCTTCAAGAAGTAAGTCGTAGGAAAAAATTTCTTTTTTAACTTTAAAACAATTTTTTCTCGATAATTATATTTCTTATTAGTGTAATTTACTGAATAAAAAAATTATTTATTAAAAATTTACATTTCAGAGTTATCGTCTAAGTGAAAAATTTAAATACATTCAATTGCTTCAATCTCAAACAAGTTGTTATTTATTAAAAAGAAAATCATCATTTAATAATGATAATAATGCATTACCAACTTCGAAGATACCATTAATCGATTTGACCAATGATGACCATAATGTAGACAAAAAAACCTTTATGAGGAGTTCATCAATTAGCGAAATTAAATTGGATGAAAAAAATGGTAAATTTTATATCTTCTGCAGTAGTTATAATTGTTGCTTTCAATTATAATTTAAAATGATATCAAGTAATACCAACTTAATAACAATAACGATAGTAAAAACCGGTTTTAAAAAAATATTTATTTTGTAGTTAATACACCTGGAGAAAAAGACTTGGAAATAATAGAAGAAATAACAGATTTAAAACATTTTAAAAAAGGAAATAAATCTGAATCGAAAAAGTAAGTAGTTGTTCATTTTTGTCAAATGAATTGATCTCTAAAAAAAGGGAAACTCATTGCTAATTTTTTATCACTTTTCAGACCGAGCGATAATTTTAAAAATCTTGAAATTTTCTTAGAGGATAGCGAAGATGACAATGAACCTATATTAGTTTTGGATGAGAAAAATAAACCTTATATCGAATCATTGGAAGCGAAATTGTGCGAATTGATGCAAATACACGATTCTGAAATATCAAAAGTTAGTCAAATGATTTTATTTAACCAGATTAGGTTGAAGGATTTACAAAAAAAAAAAAACAACATTCGGAATAAAAAGTTTTTTAGAGAATTCATTTTGAAAAGTATTTTTTATCGTTTTACTTTCAGGATGGTAATAAAGATAAATATGTAACACCAGTGTTGACACCTGAACAGGAAAAAAAAATACAAAATGCTTTGATCAAAGAACCAAGTCAAGAAGTTTTGGTCAAAGGATTTAATTTATCAATCACGAGAAAAGACATGCAAACTTTAAAAGGATTAAATTGGTTAAACGATGAGGTGATTGACCACCATTACCACCTTGAAAAAAAAAAAAAAACTTATTAGTTTTAACATGTCAGTTTTTTAATTTAATTAAATTTTTTCCTTTTTTTTTTGCAGATAATTAATTTCTACATGAATTTAATTATGGAAAGGAGTAAAAAAAATACAAAATTACCTAAAGTATACGTTTTCAATACATTTTTCTTTACAAAATTAGTTTCTAGCGGTTATGCATCATTAAAAAGATGGACGAAACAGGTAAAGAATAAAGTCGAAACACATATTTTAATTTTTTAAAATGGTTCTTATATACAAAATTCGATTAATGGATTTGGGAATAATAATAATAATAATAATAATTTCAGGTTAATATTTTTTCGTACGATATTTTATTCATACCCATACATTTAGGAATGCATTGGTGCATGTCGACGATTGATTTTCGTTATAAAACAATCAAATATTACGATAGCGTTGGCTCACCCAATGATTTATGCTTGGAATATTTGCTCCTTTATTTGGAAGTGAGTTTTTTTTTCACACATTGTGAATTCATGTTTTAAATTGATTGATTGATTGACTGATTGATTTTTACAGAACGAAAGTTTAAACAAGAATAATTTAAAACTCGATTCGAAAGAATGGTCGAGAACGAACGTTAAAAATATACCACAACAAATGAACGGAAGCGATTGCGGAGTTTTTTCATGCATGTTCGCCGAACACATTGCAAGAAATAGTCCGATAACGTTCACACAAGATCACATGCCTTTTTTTAGAAAAAAAATGATACTCGAAATATTGGACAAGGATTTAATGACGTAAGATCATCAATAATAATAATAATTATTACTTATTTAAAAGTAGAAAGAATATGTCAAAACCAAACGAACAAGCAACGGAAAATTATTATCATTTTAAAAACGTTATCGAATATCCGTATTAAAACTAATGAGAACTTGATTTCTTCCCCCCCCCCACTCTGCCCCCATTCTTAAAAACATATTAAAATGTTTTAATTATGGATGAATTATAGTTTTTTTTTATTATAACTCGTTAATCGAGAATAGGAGAAAAATTATTAAGTAAAAAAAAAAAATGGCGTCTCGTTGAGTTGTGTAAAAACTAAAAAGAAAAAAATTTTAATTTTCCAAAGATAGGAACAAAAAAAAAAAATTTTTTTTAAACAGTATTATGTTTTCTTTTGTAAATTGTTTATTATATATTATTATTATTAATATTTTTATTTGTATAAATGTAAAGAAAAAAGGAAAAAAGAAGGAGAAATAATTCTTATTTACGGTACAAAAAACATTGTCGTTATGTAAGGAATTTTTTATTTTTCTTTTTTTTTTTTTTTTGCTTAAGACGTTATTATTATTATTATTATTATTATTATTACTTCATTTATTTTTGTAAGCTTTTGTTTTTTTTTTTTTTATTAGATTTTGAAATTTTTTTTTTTATCATTTTATTTTTGTAAGTAATAACTATATAATATCAATAATAACATCCATTTGAAAAATGATGAAAATGATGAAATAATTTAATTTGTTTAATATAATTAAATAAATATTTATTTACGATATTTTATTTTGTAATTTAATTTGGATTTCCACTCAAATTATTATTATTATTATTGTGTGTTTTAAACGTTACAAAAAATTTAAAAAAAAAAAAAAAAGGAAAAGAAAAGAAGAAGATTAAATGATAAAAATTATTTTATTATAAGTGAAAAAAACCGGGAAATTTTAAATTTTTAATTGAAAACATAATTTTTAATTAATATTAAATAAGTTTAATAATCTTATTATTTTTTGATTTGTAGACTAAAAATTAAAAATTAAATAAAATTAATCTAAATTTTCTTTTTGAGAGAGAGAGAGAGAGAGAGAGAGAGAGAGAGAGAGAGAGAGAGAGAGAGAGAGAGAGAGAGAGAGAGAGAGAGAGAGAGAGAGAGAGAGAGAGAGAGAGAGAGAGAGAGAGAGAGAGAGAGAGAGAGAGAGAGAGAGAGAGAGAGAGAGAGAGAGAGAGAGAGAGAGAGAGAGAGAGAGAGAGAGAGAATGAGAGATGTTTATTTTTAACTGTTATAAAATTTAAATTGTCGTCTATGGTTTTGGGAAGACCGCTTTGACGTGGCAGAAGAAGTGCATTTTCAAGGTGTTTGCTTTTTACAGTTAAAACGTTTATGTTTGTTTCAGCGGTTTTCTTATGGATAAAATAATAATTACTATATTTACTTCGTTTTTATATAGAAATGTGGAATTTAATATGTAATTACATTTCGGAAAAATTATTTAATAAGCCGTCGGTTGGACAAAAACGAAAGTAGGTGCTGATTGAAAACGCATGATCTTATTCCGTTAAAACTATTCAATTAAAACATTTTGGATTTTTTTAATAATTTAATATTTAACGACTAAATTATTATTCTGTCGTTTAATTAAAATATAAATTATATTTTATTATAATAAATAATTATTTTATTTTTTATTATGTGTTTAGAGGTTACGCTTTAAAGTTCTATAACGAAGTAAAAAATAAAAAAATACCTCCTTTTTTGAGATTTAAATATAATACAAACACCTAAATATTGTGGAAAAGTTACCTTTGCTGTAGTTAAAACGTGTTATACTCGATATCGTAAACATTTTTTTATTTTTTGTCTTTCAGAAATGATGAATACACCGAGTACCCACCTTATAAGTTAATGAAATTAGATACTAAAAATTCATTTAAAATTGATAATTCAAATAAATATATAAACAATATGAAAAAACAAGAGTATACTTTTCAAGTTGAAAAAGAGGTATATGATTTTATTAATAACATAATCATAATTATTAATTTTGTAAATTTGAATTAAATTTTTAAAAATTACTTTTAGTATGAAGTCACCAATGATGTTGTACAAAAAAAATGGGAATCGTCATTTATGTTGGGGAGGCAATCAATTCATGACAGCAAAACAAGTATTAATTCATCAGCTCCCTTAGATAAAAGGAAACCAATTTCACAAAAAGTAACAAACTCGCCAAAGCATTCTCTAAATGAAACCAATCATGTGGGTGAGGTTGAAATTATTAAATTTATATCTAAAAACTCGAATCAAAATTGTAAGTGTGGATTTTAAATTAATATTTTACACTCGTGATTGACGATTTAAGTGCAAATTTTAAAAATATTTAATTTTAGCTGGTAAACTATCAAAGACTAAAGGAGTGTCTAATAAAATTAGCAATCCTAATCGAACAAATTCAAGACAAAGTACTGATAAATCTAAGTCTACATTCCAAACACCAATAAAAAGAAATTTAAGCTTTTTGCAAGAAGTAAGCAGAAGAAAAAAAATCGATTCTTTTTCGCAAAATGTGTTTAATACAGTTTTAATATTAGATAATTATATTTGTTACAGAGTTATCGTTTATCGGAGAAAGCACAATACATGCAATTACTCCAACAGCAGACTACAAAATTAAATTCACTTTTGACACCATTAACCATGCAAAAAGTCGGTTTTCAAAAAATTGATAAATCATCATCATCATCGATTCCTGTAATAGATCTTACCAAAAGTAAAAATAGTATTTTTGTCGATAAAAGTAGGGAAAACATTCCGAGGACGTCGTCGTGGTCTAAATCGAGTAAAAAACCTTTTTTCAAAAGTTTGTTTAAATCGTAATTTAAGGTATTGTGTAATTAAATGTTTGATTCCGCGACAGGTACTTTACTGCCAGTTGAAACCAACATCGATTCAAAAGAAAAATTTAAAATTAATTCTTTGCAAGAAATGTTGAAAACTTATAAAGTGACCGACGCCACACTCGTCGACGACATGTAAGATTTTGCTTAAATTAAAATTTATTCCTCTTGCACTTGCTAATTGTTAATCATTTATTTTTTTTCTAAATTAAGATTATCAAAACATGCGACGGAAACGGCGAAAAAACAAAAACAATTGGAAATAGAAACGGCAAAATTAAAAGTTTTATCGGAAAGTAATAGGAAATCTTATGCCATTGCTTTAGAAGAAAAACTACGGGAATACATGAGAATAACTACGCCCGTTTTAAAAGAGGCACGTGACGCACGCGGTCGTTTTATTTATTATTATTATTATTTTGTAACGAACGACATTTCGAAATTATTTTTTTTTGATTTCATATTCAAACAGATAGAACCATCGAAAGATAAATACGAACTTCCCACGCTCAACGAATTGCAGGAGAAAAGAATATCATCGATATTGGTCGGAGCGCCTTCCGGTGAGGTTTTAGTCGAGAAATACGGTTTGCAAATAAAAAGGAGAGATTTACAAACATTGAAAGGATTGAATTGGTTAAACGACGAAGTAAATTTTTAGAAGAAAAAAACCTTTTTTTTTGATTTTACGAATTTGTAATGATGTTTTAATCTCCCTATGATTTTCAGGTTATTAATTTTTACATGAATTTAATAATGGAAAGAGGGAAAAATGATAAATTGCCAAGCGTTTACGCTTTCAATACATTTTTCTATCCGAAATTAATATCTGGAGGTCACAGCAGTCTCAAAAGATGGACTAAAAAGGTTGGAAATGATTGATTGATTGATTGAAAAAGAATGAATTAAGCATCGAGTTTAAGCATCATTGTTTTACTTTTAAATTCCAGGTCGACATATTTTCCCACGATATGATATTGGTACCCGTTCATTTAGGAATGCACTGGTGCATGTCGGTGATAGATTTCAGGTCGAAAGAAATAAGGTATTACGACAGCATGGGATCTTCAAACAATTGTTGTCTTCAAGCTTTGTTATCTTATTTAAAGGTGAACGAGAATACCCAATTCCCACATGTACCTTAATTTGTCATTTTTTGTTGTCGTTTGACTTCACGTTTGTAATTTTCAGGCTGAAAGTTTGGATAAGAAAAACGTACCATTCGAAACGACGAATTGGGAATTGATTAACGTTGATAACATACCCCAGCAAATGAATGGGAGCGATTGCGGTGTGTTTTCCTGCGTTTTTGCCGAACATTTATCAAGAGATTCGGAATTGTTATTTTCACAGGATAACATGCCTTATTTTAGAAAAAAAATGGCGTTGGAAATCGTCGAAGCAAAACTTTTAACGTAGTTTAGTTCCTTTTTTTTTTTTTTTAACCCGAGTTTTACTGTCTAATCATCAATCAAATGTGTGTGTGTGTGTATCGCATTGCTCATAAA